CTTCCAGCACCTTGTTGAATCTATGCCACGAAGAATTGAGGCAGTTCTGAAGGCAAAAGGGGGTCCAACCCGTAACTAGCGTGGTGTACCCAATAAAGTGGCCGGTGAGTGTATATCCGATTTAAAACCACATACTGAAACGGCCTGGGTCGGATTTGAAGAAATCGGATTTGCCTCGTTCAGACTGTCATAAACAAATCGGATATGAGTCAGATGGGTCAAAAAAATCGGATATGAGTCAGATGGGTCAAAAAAATCGGATTTGGGTCGGATTTGCCTGCAGTGTGAACATAGCCATGAAGCCTTGATTTAGACACCAGGTGAATGCCAATATGTTTTTTTATTCTACATGTGAGTAGCTGTGGGGGTTTTGTAAGTAGTACACAATGTGTAGTTTTTAGACACGAACCTTGTTAACACACACAAATAAAGTTAGCCTGCATAACAAGTGAAATGCAACCAAGGAGGTTCTATAGAACATCTGGAGTGCTCAGAAACCACGTGCCCGTGTGATCGGCTGGTGAAGCTAACGCAAAACTGTCAAGACTCTGGATTTCCCATTACTGTACCTGTTGAAAACAGAGCAGGAAAAAAGGACTGACGATGTAGAAATCATAAAAACTATTAATAATAATAATAATATTAACACAATTATTCTTAGTATTTTAGAGTTTATATAATCTATCTAATGTTTTAAACAATGCCAGAAATCTGTTTGTGTTATGGATTTATTAACAGAAGATAAACAGGAAAACATCTCATTTTACAACACAAGTCAGCAGATTTGATCTCATTTAGCTCAATGGGATCTGAGCAGAACTGAAGTTAATAAAATAACAGTTTAAAATTAAAATAATCTTATAAAGTCAATGCAATCACTGTTATTTATTGAACTGGTTAGCAGATATTAGCTTCTGGAGCATATATACGGAGTTTAGCACTGCTGAATCATGCTACAATTTAACACAAACTGTTAAATATTACTTTGTCCCCTGATTAATATTTAGACCTACAGAGTGTAAAATAATATTATAAATGTGAGTAGTTTTAGGTTTCTGTTAGAGGAACCTGACTTGTTGAGAAGATGGTTAGCTAGTAGAGACAAGTGTCATCCTATAACAGGTATACAGAGAACATTTTCAAAGTGACTGGTAAATATTTATTATTATTATTATTGTTATTATTATTATTATTATTATTATTATTATTTATGACAGTAAGAAATACAGTATTAAATGTACTTTATTACTAGCTGAAGTCATTTTTCAACTAACTAAAGTTTGTTACATATTGACTTCAGGCATGGATTTGATCATTGTTATTTATAAATTATATATTTTTCTGGTATAAATCTGCTGTTTTACATGATTGTTGAATGAAATAAACATAATTATTAATTTATTGTAAAAACATGACAGATAATCTGTGAAACAGATCCAGTTCAGTTTGCTGTTTATCTATTAGTTTCAATGGAGGCTGTGAGCTGTTGCCCTGTTTGGTGCGTTTCTGCTCCATGTTGTCATAGAGGCTTACAGTGGACGGGATGGGCGGGGCTCAGTCTAGTGTTCTTATTCAAGTCTGTGAATGCAACAGAACAAATTTAAAGTATTGTTCTTCACAAATTGTTTCCTGTTTAATATAGCTGGCATTTATTCACATTTGAGTTATATAAGAAGCTTTTAACAGTAAATTAAATGAATAAAAATGAAAATAACTCCACATTGTGTTTTTGTTTGTATCTGTGTTTCTAAAGGGATTCACGCAACTGTGTACGCAGAGTACGGGATGCCCTCTAACCATTCCCAGCTTATATGGTTCTTTGTTGTTTACTTCTTTCTTTTCCTTTATTTAAGGTGAGTTTAAATTTTCTCGCATTTTTTTTTTATAAAGTTTAAGAGTTACAAATTGTTGTGCCAGTTGGTCTTTTTAATCATTGATTCACCATTAGATGAGGTAAAAGTTTGCTTATCTTTCAGGATGCATCAAACGAACAATGCTCGATGTGTGGACCTTCTGTGGAGACACGTACTGTCCATTTTCCTGTTGGGCATAGCCTTGTCAGTCTCATACAGCAGGTATGTTAATTTCACCACTTTATATTTTGATGCTCTGAAAATGTGCAAATGTTGAGAGTTGTAATAGATTTTAAATTTTTTTGAAAGGTTTGTTCTATAATATTGGCCCTGTATTTATGATGCTTTAAAATCTAAAATCAACCTAAAAATTGATCAGTTCAACTAAAACAGGATGTTTTTTTTTTTTTTGAGTCTGTTTGATTAAATATACTTTTCCCCTAAACGTTCATTATCCGGTATAAATACAAACTGTAGTCCTTAAATGCCATTTTATGTCTTGATTGTTGTTAATTTATTAAACCAAATAGTACTCTCTAGTATTCACTGAACTATCAGGTTCTGAATGTGCCTTTGAGAAGCACGTTAGGCAGTCTGTTAGGTTACTATACTGACAATCAATTTTTTGAATGGTGTTTAAAATGCAAGTATACTAATTCTTGGCTTTCACATCTGCTCTGGTTGATATGTGTCAGTGTGGCATGAATTTCATCATCTCCCCATGGAGAGAGTCAGCAGATGTTCATGTGCAGCTCAAAATTAGCAACAGTGTGGCCTGCACAGTAATTATCCTTGTATGTGCCAGAACACCAAACTGGTCACTTGTTTCATGCATCATTTTAGGCTGTTAGGTCCAGAAATATATTTGGACAAACAAGTTTAAACGTATAGAAGCATATAGAAAGGATTTCTTTCCCCCTGTTTAAATGCAGAATTAACTGGTTGTTTAATCAAACGTTGATTCTGAATGAAACATTTAATCATCTAATGTTTGTGAGAGTTTTATTTTTTTAAGTTAAGGAGTTTTAAATTGAACTGCCTTGGTAGGTCATAAACATGGGCTGGTTATCAGTAAACCACAGTTTTCAAAAGTTACATTGTTGGAACTAAATGTTTTGGTCATACCGTTGGGTTTAAAAAGCTGCAGGTGCGATGCCACAGACAGATTTATTTCTTTGCTACAAGCTTTTCTCTCCTCTTGCATGTTGTAATGAGCTATTACTCAGGCACTTGTGTACGGCCATCGTTATCATTTCCATCATTTCAAGTGATCATAACGAAACAGGAACTATAGCTAAATTTGTCTGGTGTTTTGTTTTTTTGTGTGTGCTTTAAAAAATAATCACTGTGGTTTAGCAGTCTGGTGGCTCTGATGTTTTCACTGACACTAAGTTAAAGTTTGTTTTCAACACTTGTTTCAAAAATAAATGATTTTTTTTCATCTCAAATTAGATTTTTGTAGCTCTTTTTGTAGCAAGAGCCTTCAAACAGATTTTGCAGTGAGGTGTTTGTTGCTCCAAGTTTGAGTTTACAAAACCTAACCAGTTCCAGATAACTGAAGAAACCGTGCCTTTTTTGGGAAGTAGATCCTCTTTGCTAGCTGCCATATTGTCATGTCGTGTACCAAGTGTCTTGAGGGACAGGYGGGGTGACCTYTGAACTACAGAAGCCCCAAAGAGTGCACTGGTGGGGAAAAAAAATCCAGGTTTTCCCAAAATTAAATCTGTTTAAATGGCATATTCGAATTTATCTATTAAATAGATTTATCGCTCAACCCCTACTTGATCTTCTAAATCAGGGGTGTCAAACTCAGGTCCTTTAGTGTTGCTGTCCTGCATGTTTTCCTTGTTTCTCTGCTCCAACACACCTGATTCAGCGATTCAATTACCTCGTCAAATTCTGTAGAAGCCTGCTAGTTATCCATTCATGCAAATCAGGTGTGTCAGGAAAAGAAGACGCCATGCTGGATAGTTGCCATTGAGGATTGGAGTCTGGCACCTGTGTTCTAGATGTCAGTAGCTGACGTCATTTTATTAAATCTGTGTCATCGCAGACACAGCCGGTCTCAGCAGGGTAGCTGGACTCTTCGTAGAGATGGGGTGAAAAGTTCAGTTATTTGAGAGTAGAGTAGAGCTGCTGCTCCTCCACATAGAGAGGAAACAGTTGAGGTGGTGCAGGGATCTGGTAAGGATGTCTCCTGGACGCTTCCTTATTTTTTCAAGGTAGGACTTCACCAAATTCAGTTAAAACGTTACAAATAAATCATTAATAATTTGGATTCGGCTTCAGTATCAGTACTTGTAACAGCACTTTATTCAACATCTCTTTGTAATGAAAGTTTCTTCAGCTAAGTTGTTTAACTTACATTCTTCAGTCTGTGATGAATTTTCAAACTCTGTCAAAAAACAAAACAAAAAAAAAAACCTCTGCCGTAAAATCAAAATAAAACTCCCCCCGTCTTCGTTTTTCTTTTTAATTTGCTGACGGTGCAATGAATTCTGGGATACCGTTGGCCACATGGGATACTTGGTGTGTCTCTCGGCTGGCCTGGGAATGCCTTGGAGTCCTCCTGGAAGAGGTGGCTGTGAAAAGAGAGATCTAGGTCTCCCTGCTTAAGCTGCTGTCCCTACGACCCAACTCTGAAACAAGCTGAAGACAATGGATGGATGGAAATATAATAAAATGTTTTTTGTTTTAACTTTCAGGGTCTACCTGTTGTATCATTCCTGGAGCCAGGTTTTCTATGGTGGAGTAACAGGCACTACATTTGCTGTAATCTGGTTCTTTTTCACACAAGAGGTGCTCACACCGTTATTCCCTAAAATTGCAGCGTGGTGAGTAGCTCTTTAAATTTACCTCCTCCTCTTCATGTCACAGTATAAATGAACACAACAGCATGAATAGCTCAATAAAATGATCTGTTATGTTTTGTCTGATAATATATATTTTTTGTTTTATTACCTCTTGATAGGCCAATATCAGAGTACTTCCTGGTGCGAGACACAAGCTTGATTCCCAACATCTTATGGTTTGAGTATACAGTGACCAGATCAGAGGCAAGGTAAGATACTGTCAGAATAAAGCATTACTACAGCACATTTAGTTAGATTAGTGGGGAACCTTTAACATAGAGCATGACATTTATTTTAAATTTACTGACTTAAAAAAACATTTACAATGTAAAACTCCATGTAATCTGTGCAATACTGTATTTCAAAGTGGATTGTGTTGCATAAACTTTGTTTAATGAAAAATATTGTTTAGGATGATAGACTGTCCACTTCTCTCGTAAGCTTTTTTTAAATTAAAAACATTTTAAATGCTGACGGTAACAGACTAAACTGAAACTTCAAAAACAGACCATTAACTAGTAAAATAAACAGTTTATGGTCAGCTTTTATTACTAGTTTTGGCTTCAGTTGTACTGCTTTAAGTCCAGATTTCTATGTGGGTCTTTTTTAAGCTTAAGTTTTATTTGTTTTAGTGAAAATCAGAGTTTTAAAAGGGCAATATTATGTGTTTCTCAGGCATACATTTAAATACTATACCATATTAAAGTATCCATGTCACCTTTAGTTATTAAAATGCTGTTTTGATGTTTAAATAGAAAATAAACTTATCTTCTCATCACTTCCTCTTCTAAACACCTTGAAATTGGCCTCTGTCTCTTTAAGAACCACCTTCCGCTTCTGTCCCGTCCATTTCATTGCCGGGGGGGGGGGGGGGGGGGGCGCATGCGCTATGATGCAGTTTACTTGTCATCTGAAAATACATTTCCTCAAAGGTATTTTGAATCTGAAAAGAGCTTCACTGAGTGAGAAGTAGTTAGGAGCTCAGCAGACTGTTTCACTTTCACTTTCACTCGTTTGCTTTGTTACTGCCAAGAGCCTGCAGGAGTCAGGGGTGGGGGGTGGGGAGGTGTGGTCCGTGATGAGGAAACTCGGCTTGGAGACACATCCCAGAGGCGTTTCTGGTCCCCACCTGTTGTTTTGCTCCTCAGCATGGCTTCCTAAAAACGCTGCAGGATTTCTCAAACATGCATGAATTAGTCAAAGCAAGGCTTTGGGCATGTTTTTTTATGAGAGTATAACATTATAACATGATATAAAACTCAAAAAAGTTTATTTTACATGATATTGCCCCTTTAAACTTGTTCACATTTTCACTCGTTTTGGGCCAACACATAGACATGCTCAGCTCTTTAGACACAAAGTTGAAATCATACCTCACTTTTTGAAATGGTTGGTATTTTTAAAAATTTCATTAGAATTTTCAGTTCACCACCACCAACATCCCAACCTTTCCATTCATCTATCCATCCGCAGCCACTACTTTAAACATAAGACCTACTTATGATATGACCAACCAGCAATTCTTGCTTCACACTGTGCATGTTTATTTCAGCCATTACTCATGCAGTGCTATAATTGGCACCCATTAGGGAGATCCACATGTTGTGATAGTAAAGCTGAGCTCACCTTTACTCATTGTTGCCAAAGTGAAATTCTTTCTAAATGAACTACACAATAGACAACAAACCCCAAGGGCACGGTTGTTTTTTTTGTGGGCAGTAGGGTTTGTTTGGTCTTCTGAAATCTGTTAAACATTGTTGATGCTTAAACTACAACAGTCATGCTTTAATTACAATTTAACATTTCTTATTTTCCCCTCTCCTCTTCCAGGAACAGACAACGAAAGCTCGGAACAAAACTTCAGTGATTCTCACAGCTCTTCTGTGAAACAAAGTTTAGGACCACACTTGTGCGCACATACACACAAACACACAAACATTCCCATCTGCAAGCAGAAACAAATGCTCACTTAACAAAAAAACTAAAAACAAAACAAAATAAACACTGGAGAACCATCTTTTGGATCGACTTGGTTGCGAGGAATACGTTGGGCAGAAACAGTTTCCAGGCGGTTAAAGAGTGCCTGGCCCTGCAGCCCCACAGTCTGCGCAAGTCCGTCCACACGCCTTTCCTCCTTGTACAGCTTGCCCAAAATGCTCTTCAGTGCATGAGAGACTGTACATGAGGCATACTATTTAATGATAGATTAATATATATTTTAACTATAACGCACGCTGACAGTAACGCTTTACTGTAAGAGATTTAAAAAGCCTAAGGAGAGGCTTCCGTCGAAACAAATTGGTGGGTGTCATTACAGCATGTATTTACTGGTTCTTTTTTAATGATGGATGGTGGTTGGTTATAGGTTTGTTGGCGGTTTGTGTAAGAAACAGTTTTCTTTGTTGTATAATAGAAAATGGAACAATTTCTACAATTGGTGATGATGTAATATACAGAAAAATTTGCACTTTGTGAAATTTACAAAGGTTAAAAAAAGACTTAACACTAGTTAAATGTTAAGAAACCCCCCCCCCCCCCCCAGTAAACCCCCCCCCCCCCCACTTCTTTTTTGTCATCAGTCTTTGCTTTGTGTCTCTGACTGTCAGTCCTAATATATTAGACCCCAAAGCTGATCTGTAAGCAGTGTAAATTTAATGTACCTTCTGTACTAATACTTATCAAGGTTGCAGTTTCTGTTCATATTTAAGTTTGAGGGTCCAGGAGCAGGGTGGAGTTCCTTTTGTTATTGAGCTGACTTTGGACTGCGAAGGTGTTTTTCTTATTGCCTCACACACAGTAGCAACATGAGAACCAAATTCTGGGATTTGGTTTTCTGTTTTTATTTTTATTTTTTTGTTAGTTTTTTTATATATATCTGATTTTCTGCTGTTGCAGAGAAGTTTTTCTTTCTTTTTTTTTTGCCTGCATTTCCAAAACAACATTCCATATCATTTAGTGAGAAAACATTATTAATCAATGAGGGGAAATGCTTTCTTTTAGAATTGTTTTTGAAAAAAAAAAAGGTTGATAACAAGCCTCAGGTCAGTTGTAGCATGTGATTATGCTTATTCCTCACAGCCTACGGCAGCTGATGTTGAAAGCTGTCGAATGAGGATCTGCAGCTGATTAAAACGGTCATATTAGCTCCACAAAGGGAAGTAGTTCTCCTAGAAATTTTTTTTTTCATGTGTAACCTATATCAGGCTGAATAAAAATGTGTTTATGTACAAGAGATAGTCCTTGTGTGTTTTTTGTAATTGCATCACAGTACTTTGCATTAAAAAAATTTGACTATTTATGAACTGATTCTGTTGTCTTTAGTCATCTGTAGCTTTCTGTTTTTTTTAAGCCAATCGATACAGACATACAGTATATTATTCAATACAATCACCTAGAAATAAACCAGACTGCTTTAGTTTTAACATAAATTTGCAAAGGACTAATATTAAGTGGTGGGTTTAGGATTTTTCTAAGGGGCCACCTGTAGGAGCCTTGTACCTTGAACAGGTCTATTCTGACAAGAAGATGGGGCAGCAAACAGAGGGGAAAAACTTGTGAATTAAATGAATGTCGAGGAAATATGCAGTTTAGGCAAAATATGAATGCATTTGTTTCACTGAATTACTGACTCTTTTGCTCTATATCTAACCAAATTTCCAATTTTCACATATTAAAAAATATTTTTTCTGATGTGAATGGATTTTAAAAGAATTATAAAAGTTAAAAAACAAAAACTTATAAAATGTGTTCAATAGGCAACAATTAAGCTAAATTCTAATGTTTTTTTTTTTTTAATAAAGAAGTTCCAAAAACATTTAGCTGCGTGTTCAGTCACAGACAGCCGGTGTTACTAAAATTTCAGAAATATTCTTTGCAGGAAGTAAAGTATATTAGGGCTTGCCAGATCAAGAGAGCCTCCATTCTTTTGAATGACATTACTTATTCTAAAAAATTATTCTCAGCTTTATTTTTTATCCTAATCTTCCAACTCTTTTAATGTGCAGCCCAAATTAATCAGCCAAAATGACCGTCTCAGTCCTGTGATGTGTGCTGTTACTTTTATTGAAGTTTAAGAGTTACCTTGGCTATGTAAGCCAGCAAAGACCCCAAGAAGTTTAAATTGAATGAAAGAAGAATGCTCAAAAACCTTTAAAAACTGAACACTCTTCAGGTTCTTCTGGACGGGTTCTTCTCTAATGAAACGTTTCGTCTCTCYTCCAAGAGACTTCTTCAGTCTGAGAGTTTCAGGCAAAATTCAGGCTTTTAAGCCCTGCCTCCATGTGACTGATACTCACATCACATGGCTATCGTTGACACCTAATTAACACCTATTGTTAACAGGGGGTGGAGTGATACTGGCAATAGCCGCACTGTAGGAGGGGGGACAACTGAAAACGGAGGCCTCCACCTCTGTTTAATGATGGACGGTCTTTCAGAGGAGAGACGAAACGTTTCATTAGAGAAGAACCCGTCCAGAAGACCTATACAATTTTTTCTTTTTTTTTCTTTTTGATTTTTTTACCTGGATTACAGAGATGCATCAGGACACTCTTCAGGTTATTTGCAACAAGACAGGCAAACCAGGAAAATGTCTAAACTAATTATGTCAGAAATGCAACGACAAACTGAGCATCCTTTTTAAATTCTATGGTGGTCAGTGCAGGAAAGTGCAAGACACTGTTATCAGAGCCCCCTCAACCTGGTGCCCTTTCCCTAGGGCCCCCAAAGTTTCATGAAACAGCCCTGCCTGCACAGAAACACTGCAAGGACAGCAGGGTTGCAGTAGCTTGGTGGTCAGTGCTGAAGTCTCGTTATCCTGAGACTGCAGGTTAGAGCCCAGGTTGTGTCAGGAAGGAATCTGTCATAAAACAATTGCAACTTTTTTTTCCTTAGAATTTGCTTGATTGGTGACTCCTGCGAGAAGGAAGCACCTGAACCAAAAATAAAAAGATAGCGGTTATTTGAATAACACTTTGTTTCAATCGTTTAAAAAAATAATAATAAAAAGAAAACGAGAAGATTTGGAAAAAAAAAAACTTGGCTGCAGGTTAGCTGTTGAGATTACAACAAGACATTAAAACCAGATGAAGCAGAGACGGTATTTTGTGCCAAACATTCTGTGTTATGTCACGTTTGCTGGAAGGAAAATCTGTGCAGCCTGTTAGCTTTTGGGCTTGTCATGCTCTTATTTTCTACCTCTTTACTCTCTGGAGTGGCAGAAATACTTTTGACTTATGCTGCTAACTTGCACAAAGGCAACCGGGTGTCCTATTTAAACAGGCCCTTTTATTTCTGCTGCATGTTTTAGGTCTCCCTGAGCTATCCCAGAACACTTGTCACATAGCCTAGATAGAAAACTGGAGGCCTCAACCTACATCTGCTTTTCTGATCTATTCTTTCCAATCTGACACAGTTTGAACTCATTTCGAGAAACACCTTAAAACCCCAACATGCAGCGTATTCAACAATTAAGCTCTGGGTTTAGTCAGCAATGATTTCCTTTTTTAAAATGATCACTAATTTGAGATTAATTTTACATTAAAATGTATGTTCTTCACCTAATTAGATCTCGGAGGGACAAATTAAATTGCTAATCAAATTGCAGCTGTGGTTAGAATAAGGGGTGAAATTCAACATTTCCAAGGAGACCGTTTTGAGAGGTTTTTTTAGCAGGGCGTTGCACTTTTATTTTCTGATGTTTTCTAACGATAGTTGTATTTTTTTTTAAACAGTTTATTCTTCAAACATTAAGAAGTAGGTACATTTATATACTGTATTAGCTGTTGGCTCTCAACACAAAGGTTGTCAAGAGGACTTTGCATGGTCTCTCTGTGCATAAGTGGTTTTTCTCCAGGTACTCCAATTTACTCCCACAGGCCAAAAATATGCAGATTTGGCTAAAGACTGCCTCAGTGTGAGAAAGTGGTTGATTATCCCTGCAGTGGACTTGCAACCTCTCCAGGGTGTATCCTACTCAGCTCTAGATACTTAATGAGGAAGGAGAAATCAAACAAATTTAAAACTAATAGAACTTCAAAACTCTTCCGCAGTTTGCGTGACCAACAGACCCACACTCACGTCATTGGCGCTCATGATGTTGAGCCTGTAGAAGACGGGGAGAAAGATCTCGGACACGACAACAATCGACAGAGCGTAGGCGATGCCAAGCAGGCAAAAGATGGCCCCAAAGCGGTACACCTGCCGAGGGGAGGTTTAATCGTACAAGCATGAGCACAAACACTGCGTAGTCTGCAGGGCCAAACGAGCCTGCTTCCTGTGAGTGACCTGACATTTTATACTCTCAGAATGTAAAAAACAAACAAACAAACAAACAAAAAAAAAAACAACAACTGTTCAGTCAAGCAGGCCTTCACTAGACATTCTTATGAAGTATAACCTCCCTCGATCAAGACTAAAAGCCAAAATAAAAAACTGTTCTTTCTTTTTGTGTGCTGTGTGAATGTTCCAGGCAGGTAAAGTGAGTAAAAGTGCAGAGCAGGGTTTGTTGGTTTATACACTCACAATACTTAGGAGATTATTGTCTAAGGCGCAGTTCGGTGATTGTTAAAGAAAAGTGATGAAAGTAAGAACTGTGTAAAATATTGTTTTGTTAGTGTCTGAAGCAAAACTAATGTTTAACCCTAATGTATTCTTTTTGATGCACATGTAACCCAGAAAAAAAACTGTTCAAAAACTGTCCATCTTACCAAGTTTTAAAATCTTATTTCCAGCCAAAAGGTCTTTTTGATCTTGTTTTAAGACTGATTTCCTAAAAACAAGAACTGATTGTGTAAGAATAATCATCTTGTTTTCAAAATGTGTAAGATTCTGAAAATTTGACTCAAATTAAGTCAATTTATTTTGCCAATGGAGTAAGAAAATTTTACTTGGTAAGATTCTTGAAATAAGAAAAAAAAAAAAGAGAAAGCAGATGAGTCTTTTGTGTCTGTTATGAACCAACAGACGGATTTTAATGAAACGTGCAGAAGGTGATGACTTCTGACCAAATGTTTGTAACTTAGCAGGTATTGAGGTAAAATTGGATGGGACATCTTGCATTTTCGCAGTTTGCCTCCATCACTTCCTCCCATCTCAGTCTCAAATTCTGGTGTGAAAGTATGGTGCAGTATGTGGGCCAAAATTAAGACTATTGCGCAACCAGCTGTTGCTACATCTTTGTAGCAGGAGGCTAGATCTATTTGCTAGCCTCTTTGATGCTAATGCAAGCCTATCTGTGCTAGTTGCTAGTCTCTCCAATGCTAACACCAGCTTATCCATGCTAGTGCTAAGTAGCCATTTTAATAGAATTAACATGTTGCACAAAGCTAAATATGAGAAGTTTACTGAAGTAGCAAGTAGCTACATAACTTTTTTTTTTTTTACCACAACCACACAGGAGTCTGCACTCATAGCGTCTTAAAGCTGTTGCACTTCAGCTCGCTAGTGTTTATTTTTTTCTTCAAACCTTTTGTATTCATATTTATTAAACAAAAGTAACTGTTATACAAGCATTTGAGCATGAAATATGTCAAACTA